TCTAATTGCTGTGGCTAATGTTTCCAGAACTATATTGAACAGGAGTGGTGATAGTGGACATTCTTGTCTTGTTCCTGATTTTAGCATGAAAGTTTTCAGTTTTTGACCCTTTAGTGTGATGTTGGCTGTTGGGTTTTCCATAGATAGCCTTAATCAGGTGGAGATAAAGACCTTCTATTCCAATTTTCTGTAGGGTTTTTATCATAAATGGGTGTTGGAATTTGAAAGACCCATTTTTCCATGAAATTCAAAACACACTTATAGCCAAGTACATAACATAAAGTGACAGCCTTATCTTTTCACTCCCCTCTTGTACAAAAGGTAAACATATGGGCTTGGAATAGAGCCCAGTAGTAGAATATTTGTCTCACATGCTTGAGGCCTTGGATTTTATCACAGCACAAAAAATTAGAACCAAAACTGTCTGAAAAGCATGTGGTGCTTAGGAATGTGAATCCTCTTAATTCATCCTACTCAGGATAATAATTTTGAAGGGAGTCCAAAAAGGATAATGTATGTTAGAAAGCACTACATAATAAAAGTCAAAATTTAAAAATCCATTCTAGCTTTCACAGGTCATGGAAAAGTCTATCTTCCAATGCTGATCTGTTGCTTCTTATTCAAAGTCAGAAGCAGCTCCCCAGGAAGGCCTTCAGGGAATAGGCCAGGTAGGTGCTCACCCACCCATTATCCTTCTGTGGCTTCACATTTAAGTCAGCCCAAATCAGGCTTTCTGTGGCAAAGTGTCCTTCACTGAAGACTCAAGTTCTGGAAAGCTTTTCCTTCAACAAGCTCCCCACTCAGTCTTCGGATCCAGGCTCCTGGCGCCGGACTTGGTTACAAAGTTGATGATGGTGTCTGACACCTTTTCCCCCACGTGACTGACCCTCCCTGCTCTGTGGATATCATCTTAGAGGATGAGGACCACGTCATAATTGACTACCAGTTCCTCAGAGTGATATTCAAGCTCAGCGAGCCTATGTCTGGGCAGAGAAGAATGTTTCTGAAGTCCCTCTGGAAAGACTGAAGGTCCCTTCCCCCATTAGTGGGCATTTTCCTCTGCAGGCTTACATTGTGGATTTTATGGTCTTCTAGAACATATTCTCACCTGTTGTTTAATCACTAAGTTGGCCATGCTGGGCTCCAACTTGTGATTCTTCTGCCTCAGCCTCCCAGTGTGGTGGGATCACACGTGGGCAATCCACACTGGCTTTTCTCCTTTGCCCACAGTGTAGTATAGCTGAAGGTGGAGGGAAAACCAGGGAGGCTTATGAGGTAGGAGCTATTTCCAAGAACACATTCAGGTATGTTCCTGGGACTCAGATCCCCTCTCCTAAACTGATTATCAGTTGCTTAGAGAATTACAGGTTTGGAAACTCTGCTAATTCCAAACCTCCTCTGGTGATTTCTTGTCTCTACCAACAGGTACATGGGGAAGCCTCGCGGTTCTCTCAGATCACACCTCTCCCTCTCTTTCTCCTCCTCAAGAAGTCTGTGGTGGTTGCCAGCTGTGGAGCTGGGGAGTGAAGCCAGGAAGGCCACCGTAACTCTATTGTGACACCTGGCAACACACTTCAGCACACTGCAAGGCCATAAATATCATTCCTTGAGGAGTGAGTGCACTTGGCTCAGGAGGTTGTTGCCACTTCTTTCTTCTTGCTGCAAGAACGTAGTGTAAGACTGAGTGTGTGAGTAGCCACGAGACTCGGTACCCAGAGCTGTGCTATCAGTTCAAGGTATGCTAGCCTATTCTATTCTGCACATGAGGGAAAATATTTTATCAGCCTCACTTTCAAAATGAGAAAAATGAGCTACAGGGTAGGCCAAAGTACACAGTGATGCCCACATGGGCAATGCACATAGAGATTATGTGAATCCTTCCACTTCTAGGTGATGTCATTCTCAGCAAGAGGGCCCTCCAGTTCCTTACATCCATCCATTTGTCTAGACATCTTTTGCTGGCCATCCATTGGTGCTGGCACATTATGGGGTTTGCAGTGTGGTGGCAGGACAAGTGTCCATTGACTATACTTGGAAATGACATTCTGTTCACAGGCACACCCCTTCCTGCATTTGTTTGTGCAGACAGAGCCTCCTTCCTTGGCCTGGTTTTATGGCTCCCCAAGCAGGCTTACCTGGTGTAGCTGAGCATCTGAGCTCTCACTGCATTTAAATGAGCATCAGGTTACACCTGAGATGCTTTTATCATTTTACTTTTTTTCTTTTTTTTTTTGGTACTGGGGATTGAACTGGGGACCTTGTGCTTTCGAGGCAGGTGCCGTATCATTTTACTTTTGTTGGGGTATGTGAGTGTGCGTGTGTGTGTGTGGTTTTGTTTTGTTTTGTTTTGTTTTTGAGACAGTGTCTCTCTGTGGATTCCAGGTTGGGCTCTAACTCAAGT